ATATATATATATATATATATATATATATTATTTTTCTTTCCTAATTATTACTCATATTTTATAACCGATTTGAGTGCATATTCTTTAAAAAAATTATAATTAATGCATTTTACTAAATTAAGACAACACACTTTAACTAAAAATATTTTAATTTTTAAAAAATTAATATGAGATAATATGAATCGAGTCTTATTTAAAAAAATAAACAATTATTCACTATTGAGTCTTATTGAGTCTTATAAATAGGAACAAAGACAGTACAAATGAAACAAAATTGAAACATTCACATACTGCACTAATCAAAACTCATCTACAATTCATATACAAATCATTAACTAATCAAACCGCAAATCATACTATTCAAATTGGAAATCATTAAATTCTAACAGTTATGCCAATATCATACTATTATTGTCATATGCATAAAACTCAGCACCTTTGAATCGCGCTTCTCATTACCGGGCATAGTTCAAGAATTCAGAATCAAGATTTTGAACTTTTTTTTTTTATGATTATCAAGATTTTGAACTGAGAATAAAATTAAAAATAAATTACTCTAAGCTCGCTTTTGCAAATTTTGCGGAATGATGCCCATGTACCTTTATTGAGGAGTCAACTTTGTGATTCAACTAAGACACTTCTCTTGTCAGAGACGATCCTTTCGGACACTCTGCCTACTGAATGGCTACTTTTGCTAGTTCCGCTGCCATCTTTCTTAGTGACAGAACGTTGCATGATCCTTATAGGAATTCCACCCAAATCAAAGTCCTCTTTCAAGGACTTTGTTAAGAACCTAATGTCTGTATCAGAAAGCTGAGTCTTCCCACGCACAAACGCAACAAATGTAGGTGGCCGGGCCTTGACTTGAGTGAAATACTTGACCTTAGGCTGTGCTGCTTGGTCTTTCCAAGAATGCCTGCTCATAACCTGATCAAAGCCAACCAACCCAAAGAGAGAAATAAGAAACCAAATTTACTACCAATTGCATGTTACTGTTACAAAAAGTGATGATAGAAAATTGCCTTTTGCAACCAACGGTTAAGACGAGCTGTAGGTAATCTTGAACACCATTTTTCGTATGTATCAATGACCTGATTCAAGACAGTGGTCCGGCCCCTTCCCTCCAATGCTGAAATGAATACAACTGGGATTCCTGTTACCTGTTGACAATGTCAAATGTCAATGCTAAATCAAAATACAAATACTAAGTTTGCTACTCGCCCTTAAAAGCAAAGAGAGAAACTGGGAAGGACTGTATGATAAGTTGACAACCATGCACATATCTTCTCCAGTTTGAACAATGACCGATTTTAACATCATGCCCAAATACATAACTTTGACATCTATGTTAAAGACAATGCTTTAAAGCATGATGCGTGACAATCCAATTTATTGAACAGCTAGACTTAAAGTTGAGCTTATTATTACATGACAGACCTGAGGTATAATTGTCTGAATTTCTTGTGGAACAACTTCCATAACCTTCTCATAGGATGATGATTTGTGTTTGCCTCTTAGAAGGTCCATCTTGTTCACAATCACAACCAGACCACGTCCTTCTTCCACTGCCCGTCTGGCTATAACTACTTCAGCATGTTTCATACTTCGTCTTGCATTTAAAATCTGGTCAATACAGATTTTTTCAACAAAAAAATCTAATCAATTCAAAATGTAATTACTAATCAGCATATAGAACGGGATATAGGAGAAAAAATATTTCTGATTGATCATGCTTATAAAAGAGGATATTCTGCACACATACACATACTTCACAGTCATTCATGCACTAAGTCCATCATAATTGAGGGGTACACAAAACAGAAGGGGATTAAATGGGACACATGTTGCTCACATTAGAACAAACACATTACAGATACAGAGATACTCTAAGGAATCATCAATGAAAAGTATTTCAAACCAAAACAGCAAAAACTAAGCACCAAATTCAACATTTCCAACCAATAAGTGAATTACCAGAGCAATTATATTTTAATAGGTTTAAATTTGTGTTTATAAATAGAAACATGTGAACGAAATTGGAACAGTAGACTTCATGAAATTGCAATTTAACAAGCTAAAAAAAATCGCCTGAATTATATCACAGTTGTTTGGCCTTGTCCAAAACATAAGATGCATGAAACATATATACCTCTTCCGCATCTAGTACCAAAGCAATTATATGAGCCCGGAGTAGACTCTTCCTTGATTGCATAATGCTCAAGGATGCTGCTCCTTTATCCTGTTTTGTCCTCTGCAACCAACCGGCGGTATCAACCTGAATGACAGCAAACATTATTATATTTATAAAATGTTACTAACATTTCAATAATAAATATTTGCTTTTATTACCCTTGAAGCAAAACTATATTCAGCATGCATATTGAGTACTTTCAATCAAAATATAAATTCAGATACTTATAACCATGCTATATGCATCATGTTTGACAGTTAAATGTACTGCATACAATTAAGGTGCAGAGAATAAAGATCAAAGAATTAAAGGAAAATCAGAATTGTAGAAAGTTGATCATGCTCACCAGAAAAAATTGTACAATAGCTATTATGAAAATATATTTGAAGGGTATTATGAACTTTAAAGAGAACATGCTGACTTGCAATTGCATTTTTTCAATATTGCCTTTCAGAACAAGAGACACGTGTTTGTATGCTTGCAAGGACACATGAAATGGTAAAGAAGCATGAACCAATATCATCTAATTTGAAGGCCAGAGAAACAAAGAACTACTATGTTTTCCTCTTACAAGCAACATTCCTACTTGTATCTCTCATCGCTATCAGTCTTTAACTTTACCAATACTACCAGAAGTCCAGAACCAAAACTTTAATGGATACATACCAGATAAATTGTTCTTCCTTGAAATTCAAACTGGGTTCTGATTGAATCTCTTGTCAGACCAGCTTCAGGACCCACAAGAACGCGGTCTTCTTGCAACAATGCATTCAATAAGGTTGATTTACCGACATTAGGGCGTCCTACAATAGCTAATTGCAATGGCAGCTTAATTTTGTCAACATCAAGGTCACTGCTATCCTCGTCATGGCTATTTTCTAGAACACCTTCATCTATGATCAGTAACAATTGAATACAGAATTAAAAAAAAAAAGGTGATTAGACAGCAATACAATGATGAACCCAAAATACATGATCTTTCCCCTTGTGTGATAAAAAAATTCAACAACATATAATTAGTTTAGCAAGCCCTTCCATGTACCCAAAATGATAAAAGTTTATCAAATGTACAAGTGAGCAAAAAATAGCCTTGCAGTTGCAGTTAACTAGTTATCATTCTTTCATTGCTGAAGCCTGAATGACATAAGCTTTCACTTACCATTCAATACACGAAGCATGTAGTCCTCCAGGAGAGGCCTAAGAGAGGTATACAATTCATGCATTCCCAGTCCAGTCTCAGCAGATATGGCAATAGGATCCCCAAATCCCAACCGGCACATTTCATTAGCAGCTGTGGTCAGAGAGCCACAGGCATCAAAGAGTGATTCAGATTTATTCATGGTAACAATAGGTTTTATTTGGGGTGCATGTTTTCTCAACCATTTTCCAACCTCCTGATCAAGAGGATGAAGTCCAGCTCTGGTGAGCAACCAAAGAAACAGAAAGAGATAGCAGACATTAGTACGTTGAATTGAGGCATTGAGGGATAGGGGTAGATTAATGTAGAGGAAAAAACACTAGTGAATGGTGAGACAGCATTAGCAAGCTGTGAAAGGCAGAGTAATAGAAAATTGGAAAGAAACCTTGCATCAGTGAGGAAGAGTGCAAAGTGAGCCCTTGCTAAGACGTTTGCAGTCATGGAAGCAGTTCTGTGGAGGATAGAACCGGAAGAGGCTTCAGCTTCCAAGCCAGCAGAGTCCAAGACCCTGAATCGTAAGTTACCCAACTTGGCAACTCCTTCTCGTATGTCTCGGGTAACATGATCATCAGGGGTGTTATATACCAGAGCCTCCCTCCTCCGAATTAAACTAAAACCAATAATATTTAATTATCACAAAGCAAAATCATCAAACTGTGTTTAAATTTGAGTGGCTGTGCCTCACCGGTTGAACAATGCAGACTTGCCTACATTAGGTCGCCCTAGAATGATGACAGCGGGGAGCCGAGTAATTTGAATTTGAGTAAAATCGAGAGGTGCAGTGAGGCTACAAAATCCCCTCACAACTGCAAAGAAAGAGAGGAACTTTGTTCATTCATATTGCCAAGTGAAAGGAATCGGATCAAGGAAGTTGCAACTTACAACTGAACTTGTGGAAAAAAATAAGCCTCTGGATCCGGGTCATTTCATCCCTAGTTGAGTAACTTTCTCATTCTGCTCCACAACTATTCATTGTTCATTGCGTCCAAAACAAACCCTAATTTTGTAATAATTTATATTAATTTAATTTCATACAAAATTATGCTTAGAAACAGTGGTCAGATGCAATTCCGATCCAACAGAGCTTATCTCCTATTGTTAACCAAATCATTTCGTCCTACGTGTTTGCTTCGTTTTATAAATCATCATGGAACTTCAATGAAACAAACAAAATTTGAACAGAAAATAATATGTAATTTATCTATAATAAGGTAATAATCCTCATCCTATATTCCATCTTTAATATTCTCTTTATTTTTTTCATCTGTCAAATTTTTAGTAAAATTTTATTTTTATTTATTTGTAATTTTTAAATTTTAAGATAACATTAATTGTTATTAATTATATTCTTATATTTTATCTAATTTTTAATTAATTTGTATATGACAATTAATATGTATTATTATGAAGAAAAATGAAAAATATATAATAAGAAATATTAAAATTATTATATAAAAAAAATATTATATTTTTTTATATAAAAATGAAATAGTAAAAGATAGTGTGTCGCAACTATCAATGTCATTGAGGGCTAAGCATTTCAAGACTCAAGTTACACTGAGAGAGATAAGGAGAGTTTCTTGGCATGTAAGAGAATTCCACATGAAGGAATGAAGTTATGGAGTTTCTTGCTATACATGAGAAGTCCAACCCCGGGATTTTGGATTTTTGCATGGGAAGCCCTTCAAGATACATAAAACCCTCATGAATCTTGATACTTGTTTGTGCCTCGGTCTCTTTGGTGGTTGGTATAATAATAATGGAAGGATGCTCAAAGGGTGCAGTGGTGCACAGGATGGAATTGGTATGGTGGCAAGCATATTGCTTGTAGTGTTTGTTATTGCAACAAGTGATTCTAGACAAACACTACAGTTTAAGGATCTAGATAAAGAGAAATGGGGTTGTGGACAGAAGCTTTCAATATATGATATGCTTCCTAGTGATATTGATATTGATATTGTCCATTAAAATATTGGAGATCAAATCCTAGTTGATGGGCTTTTTTGTGTCTGATTTCTAAATGTTAATAAATGAATCAAGCTTGATAGGAGAAAATGAACCAGTGAGTGTCAGTTAACTTATGAAAGAGGAGGCTGGGAAAGACTGCCATATCCACTCATGCAAAAGAATAAAACACCAAAAAAAGTGAGATGGAATTTAATTCCTTCCCACCCCTCAACAAAAACTGGCATGAGGGGAGCAAACTTTAGAAGAGAGAACATTTTCTTTTCTCCTTCTATTTAATTATTGCTACTTTAAATTCATCTCTTAACTCACTTTATATCTCAGTGTTCACATAAACTCCTTGATTGGTGAATGAATATTTATGATTATCATTTGCATTCAAGTTTGAATTTATATTGGGATGTTTGTTTTAGAGGAACAAATATAAATATTGTGGTAATGATTGAAGATTAGGGTGGTAGAATTCATGAAGTTTGATGTTAGTAAACGATTACATGGTCTTTACATACAATGGTAATGTTAATAATAAAAAATGTTACAATACAAAGCAAGCTAGTATTTTACTAAGTGAATTCACTAATAGACAGTAGTAATACTAATAGAGTTAAAATTAGTTAAAATTTATTTAAAAATATAAAATTTGACGAGTCTCATATTTAATTAATTAAAGAAAATGTATCAAGAGGAAATTATTACATAACATTAACACTACTTTTAATAGGTCTATTGTGTATGCCTTTCTTTTCTCACGGATGGAAATATACATTCCACTAAAATGTAAGCAAAATCAACTCATCTTACAGAAACCGTATATGGTACCCTTAACCTCAACCATAGTAGATAGAATTTTATCCAAATATTATCATGAATTTAAATTGTTGGTGTGAAAATAATGTTAAATAAGTGTTAATTATTTCATTATTACAATTAAGATATTAATTATTTTGTTATAGTTAGTAATAGAATATTTTCTTAAATATTTGTCGATGGACTGATTATTTATGTACCATAAAAAGAGTGATAGAGTGATATTTAGGGGATAGAAACAATTTCTATTTCTTATAGTATTATAATTTTATTCTTAATCTTCTTCTTTTTATCATATTTTAGTTTCTTTATAAACCATTAGACCAAAATAGTATTTAAATTTATGAGATAAATATTTACACAAATATAAATTATTTTATTCTAATCATGAGGTAAATTAATTTATTTATTTATATATTTTTTAATTTATAATATATTAGAATAGGTGTGTAAGGACATATTTTTATCTGTGTCATCATTATAATCTTTTATATTAATAAAAAAACATGATTCCAATTTTCTTAAAAATGAAAATAGATCAAGTGATTTATCAAAGTTTATGATTTAGTCTAACTTATTTATTAAAAAGGTCAAATTTATCTTTTAAAGAAAGATCCTTTTAAATAAAAGTGAGAGTTTAGGTTTTAAATATATATATATATATGAAGAGAGTTCAAACGATACCAGTGTAACTTTTATTAAGTGTTACACCGCTTAATAACTTTATATTAAATATGAATTTTGAAAATCTAACCGTTAGATTGAAAGTTCATATCTCTTAGATCATATATGTCAAATTTTATTAAAATTAAACAACAACTTGAAGGTAATCAAAACGTTCATATTTTAGTATATTTTGAAATGTATATATTACGTCAATTTTGTTTTATGAGAATGAAGTATCAAATCATCTTAGATTAATATAAAATTTGACATATATGATCTAAGAGAGATGAACTTTCAATCTAACGGTTGAATTTTCAAAATTCACATTTAATATAAAGTTATTGAGCGGTGTAACACTTTGTAAAAGTTATACCGGTGTCGTTTGAACCCTCCTCTATATATATATATATCAAATGTGTATTATATATAATATTTATATTTGATATATAATTAATAATGATAATTTTTAACAAAAATTTTAAATTTAAAAGTGGTATCATTATATGAATAATGTTACTAACATTTATAAATTTGTATTCTCTCTTTTTATATTTTATAGTTATGAAATAATGGTTGTTTTAATACATACTAGTACTAATAATCGTAATATTTTTTAAAAAGAATTAATACTTTTTCTCGTAACTATTTTTCGCTATTATACTCTTAATTTTTAATTAAAAAAATAAATATTTTTAATAATAATTATTAACTATTTTTAAATAATCGTTCACACTATTATATTTTTTATTTTTAAAAATATTTAGAGACATGAAGTCTTCCAGTAATATTTTCTCTTTTAAAAATAAAGATTTATAAAATCTAAATATATGCATCTAACATAGTATAAATTAAAGAGAGAGAAAACATTATAACTAATGGAATACTTAATTAAGGTTAAATTCAAAAACAGATGAAATACATTTACGATATACGTACTTACAGATAATCATATTTTTAAGTATGTCGTCAGAAGTTTGATTCTTAATTAGTTTATATAAAAAAAATCAGGAAAAATCAACCTAAATTAATCATTAATCATTAATTTTAAGTTAATGAATATTTTAGTTTATCAAACAAAAATATGTGTTTTCATTATCTTTTAATAAAAATAGATTTTTTAAATAACATAATTAAAAACGTATAATCACACACACTATAAAAAATTTGAAAATAATAAAACTTGTATATATTGTAATGAAAATTGTATCAATTACTTTAGAAAAAAAAATGATTTTTTTCAAGCATTCAGCATACATGCATATATATTATAAAAAATAATAAAAATCATACATGCATATTTAATATTTTGATTATTTAATTTAAATTTCCTTAAAAAAATTGTCAAAACGATAAAAAAAAAACTAATGTATCTAATTTATATATTTAATATATTAATATTTTTACATGACAAATATTTTTGTTAACATAAGATAAATATTAAGTAAAATGTAAATATTTTGATATTGATAAGAATTTGAATAATTTATTTAGGGTAAGAAAGAAATGTTGTTTTTATTTAGGGTAATAGAGAATTGTTTTTGGGAAAAGGAGAAGGAAGAGGAAATGAAAAGTGAAAAGTGATGTTAATATTAATATATATACTAATAATCATCTCCGTTTTGGTTCTCTCAACTCAAAGTCTCAACCCAATCCTCTCTCTCTTTCTCTCTGCACCAAATTCCAATGCTTCCTTCTTATTTCAATCTCTACTCTTTCACGCTTTTGCTTCGCTAATTTAAATTCGGACCCGACAACCTCTTTTTCCCCCAAATCTGTTACGCAAAAACAAAACCCTAGCCTCACCTTGTTCAATCCAAACACAGAATGGAAAGTATACCGCACCCAATACCCAGAACAGTGGAAGAGGTTTTCACCGACTTTAAGGGTAGACGCGCTGGTTTGATTAAGGCCCTCACTACCGGTACACTACTCCTTTTTCCTCTTCTCTGTCTCCACTTTTTTTTTTTTTTTTTTTTCCATTTCTATTTACACTCTCTTCTTCTCTTGCTCTTCCTTCCAGACGTTGAAAAGTTTTACCAGCAGTGCGATCCTGGTGGGTTCTCTTTTATGCCTTTCTTCATTATTATTTAATTTTTGTAATACAACCTCGTCTTCTATCAGTATCACTATGGCTTCTGCTTTTTCACTCACTACTGTAATTCTGTCATTTTACCATTTCTTATCCTTTCCTGTTTGTTACACTGCTCCCAAATTATTAATATTGCTTGTTGCACCTTCATTATTTCCTGTGCTTGTGGAATTCAGTTATTGTTTTCTGCCTTTCTCAACTCTTACTACTAAGGACCACATTTCCACTATTACTCTACTCCATTTTTCAAACCTTACATGTTGGCCTCATCCATGAATAATTGTGAATTCATCTCCACTGCGTACAGGGGAAGGAGCTAGGGTATGCCTTGATAATTTATTTTGAGAATTCCTGTTTCCCTAAATTGAGAGGCCCATGAGAAACACGAATTGTTGGAGTGGCCAAGTTAAAGATTTTAAATTTTCAGAAATAAAAGGCAAGGGTAGAACGATCATTTCAAAAAAGTTTGAGGGTGTCCTATCTCCCTTCCACTTTAATTAAACTAACATCTACGACCAACTGTGTGTTAGCCTTATATAGGCACACTTGAGAGTATGAATGTGCATGGTGCGAGTAGCGTGCATGTCTGTTCCCTAGTGAGGGACTTGTAATGTAACTCCCTCTCCCGTTTCTGTCCATCCATGAGTGTCCATGAATATGGACTTGAGATATAATGGCTGTTGAACAGTCATAAATGTTGGCAGTTGAATGTGGGGATTTCCTGTTGATAATGAACTGTTAGTAACGATTATTTTGTTTATTCCTCTTACGCAAGAGTTGGTAAAGTTTGATGTGTTTCATGTGAATTTAGTTATCACTGTGCTCAATAGTCAATTCTACATGGTTGAATGCTTTTCACGATGTCCTATCAAACTTCATCGCTTGTCGTTTTCTCCTTTACTTTGTTATGTTTTGATGTTGTTAGGGTAGGAATTAACCCTTATATTAGGGGAACGGAGAGAAAGAGAGTGGGGGCAAATTATTAATTTTAAAATACATTTTTACTTATCCCTTGTTAATAAAGCACTATGTTGTAATGCAATATCAATTTTTTTTATTCAAATAGCAAATATCTGAACAGTTATTAAAGTAATTTACAAATATTGTTGTCCTCCATAATTTTCCAAATAGGAAGAACCCAAAAGAGTGACTATTTGAAGTGTTATGTGCAATGTGTTTTTTTGTTAACGTTATGTTTTTCTTGTTGCAGAGAAGGAGAATTTGTGTCTTTATGGATTTCCAAATGAAACTTGGGAAGTGAACTTGCCTGTTGAGGAAGTGCCTCCTGAACTTCCTGAGCCAGCATTAGGTATAAATTTTGCTAGGGATGGTATGCAAGAGAAGGACTGGTTATCACTGGTTGCAGTTCACAGTGACTCATGGCTGCTTGCTGTTGCTTTCTATTTTGGTGCGCGCTTTGGATTTGGTAAGAATGAAAGGTAAGCATCCTGTTCTCTAGTATACACTTGCAAAATCTTTTATTCCTATTAGCCTTACAAAATTGTTTTATTATTCTTGTAATACCTAAAACTTTCTTTCTATACTCGCTTCTATCTTTCCCTTATGTTTTTCTATTAAGTATTTTGTCTTTCATATCCTTGCTAGTTTTGAACTTCTTTGATACATCTAGATTGTTTACAATCACTCATTTCAAGCAGTGCAGAGTTTTTGGAGTAAAAGTTATCATTAGTTTAGTCTCTTTACACATTACAATCTTTATTGATCCATGCTTTGTGTCAGTGCTAAACTGCTAGTATTTCATGCTTCTCAATAATCTACAAGTCTACAGTCAAACATGCAACATTGTAATTTGTGTAATTTCTCATGAAACACTGAATCAAATGAAAATCAAGTTCATGTGTGTACTTGATATTAGTTTACAACTTTGGAGGAGAAACATACTGTTGATGGAGTAGGTTAGAAAATAGAAGTGCAAGATAACCCACTTTTGATATTTACTAATTTTATGTTTTGGTTCCTGAAATATTGGATTTAATTCAATTTGTTGTCTCAAAAACTATTTTTTCAATTGATCACCTCAGTCTCCAAAAACTATATAAGGCTAGTTCATTCATGGTTGAGTTTAAAGAATTATGTAGTTAATTGATGTAAATAATCTTTGAAAGTCTTGATCAATCTAAAGAGTATTTAGAGGAAACTTAGTACCAATTCTATTTCCATCTCGATCTTCTTGTCAATAAATTTAAGCATGTTGTTTTATTTCTAAGGAAGAATAACCAATTTGGACATGACCATGTTATTTATATTCTTCTCATGGCTTTAAGGTTGATGCTTGTGTGTAAATTGCATGTTCAATCTTGTTTCTTCATGTCTTCATGTATAATGACTATCTGTATCTTATATCTGGGTAACTTTTTTGACTGTAAAGATAATTACTTATTAAATTTGTAATGTTTGTCTGAAGGAACTTTTTTTTTTCTTCTTCTTTTTGTTGGCTTGTTTCTCTTTTTATTATCTTTTCCATTTTCAGTTTTAAATTTCATTCATTTGCTCTGTTTTTGCTTCAATTCATGTAACATGAGACTTTATGAGGTTTAAACCTATTCACTGTGAAGTATGTAAACACTGGAATTTGGTTATACATTGTTGGTTAGTATATAAGATTAAACTTAAATTGTAGATGTTATAATTCTCCATTTAGTATATGCTTTTAGTAAGTGTATGGTGACTGATGATGTAAAAATAAGGAAGGAATGGAGTTTAAAATTTTAGTTTCTTGGATATTATTTATCCCTGTTTTGATATTATTTCTTGATGAAACCTATTGTTATTGAAATTGTTACTTTTTTTAATTCCCTGTTCGATTTTTTTTTGAGTGATGATGTGTCAAAGGACTGGTAACACTGGTTTTTGTTTGCCATGGCTGAAAGAAACCAGAGCTTATTTTCTGCCCCCAGTTTTGTCAAAGGACTGTTAACACTGTAGTAGCATCCTAATTCTGTAACAAGTGTGTATTCTAGAACTACTTCTTGCTGAAGTGATGAAACATGTTGTCAAATAAATGAATGTTTATAACTTGTATTGACTTAAATATGATAGCAATGATAAGACCCCCTTAAGTTACCAAATTTTTGGCCATAAACAATCTCAACAGAAAAGCAACCTCAAATGTAAGGGAACAAAAGCAAAATACAGAGCGAAGAAAGTGAGAGCATTGGAGCAATGCAGAAGAATAGAATGTGATAGGAGGGATTACAACTTACAATCAAAAAATGAGCAAAAGAAAAGCTTCCTTCATTGTCCAAGTTCTGATTGGCTGTTCCCAGTAATGTCCAATATTTATACACACACATCCTCCTCCAACTCAAACCAACAATCATGGAGCAAATATTCTTTTCAAATCAAACCCAGGAACAAAATGATAATCCATGGCCCCATTTGCCTGTGTTACTACTCCAAGCCACTACAAATAAGTCATGACCACCCTTACACCAAGTTTCTGTCTTCCATGAAAATCCCATGGAAATGATCCTCCACACCACAAACTAAAATATCTTGTTAGATATCTAGGTCTTTATTTATATATCTTTTGGTTAAAATATCTAGGTCTTTATATATTTTTCTGTTAAAATATCTAGGTCTTCATGTTTTGATGTTTTGAATCACCTTCATGTTTTGGTGTAATTATGATTTGATTGTGCATGACTTGAGTCGATTGATTTTCTTATAATTTTTAATTTAAGTTCCAACTACGTATATGAAGTCTGATTTAAAAGTTTTATTTTCTTATTTATGCATACTTTATATGCACATATATGAATTTATATGCTTATATATCAATTTCATTAAGTTTATGCTAATCAATCATTGGGTCATGGATAGGAGCAATCAATTTGGGAGTCATCAGCTACAAATGGCATTAGGAAATATTGAATGAGATGCTAGAATGATGACATGACAACGGGCAATTAAAAACCGAAAATGAAACATGACAAGTGGGGAATCTAATTTGAAGGATGGAAAGTGATTAAATGAGAAAGGCTAGAATAGCTTTAGCAAAGAGTAAATATTAGCAATTTTTTTTTAAAATAGTGCTTATAGTTTATACTGCAAAGATACTTGGCTACACACATATACTCACTTCGTAAACTAAGTTGTTAATATTTCTGAGGCTTAGAATAAGTGGCACGGATTCCTATGAAGTATGAATACTTGGTGCATTTAACATGTGAATATTCTAACAAAAGAATCATGTAAATCTATGTATATGGATCAGCCTTAGCATGCCTAGTCTAGCCCACATTTGTTCACTTAAGCCCGCTGTTAAACAGACTGTTCTGCTTAAAAGAGGAACAACCGTGGGCTGTGTCTAAAAGTCACTAATAATTAATTGTGTTTTAGGTTTAAAAGAGTTTTTAGGACAATCTCGAAGCTTAGGAGCTTGTCAGTGAGAATGATGAAAGAATGGGTGAAGGGAAAGGTTATCTAAGCTGTTGGGTGTTAGTCTTTTTTATATTTTATGCAGACCAGCAGTTTGGTCCATGGGTTTGTGGACCAAACCCATTTAACCTATGGGCTTGTGCAAACGACCCTACACAGGTTCACATGTAAATGGTTCATTTTTTTTTTGGGTGGGTTTTATGAATTGGCCTTCAGATAAAAACTTATTTAGAGAACTTGGTAGTGGAGTAGTGATGGGATGGGTCACGGAGGATGGTGCCTCTCTAATAACATGATGAAATAGGTTTTTAGGTATTTAGGAAGAAGACAACGAGAGTAGAGACTTTAAATAACATTATATTGGGACAGGGTAAAATGATTATACAATTGAGTCTCCTGTTGATCCCTTTTTCATTATACAATTGACAGTGACTCAAGTGAATATCTAAAATGATTACAAAGTTAGTCTGCTTGATTAAATACTGAGGCATTGGTAGGTAAATCATTTATCTTTCCCATAAATTTTGGGATAGGGAGGGTGAAGAAAAAAAATTTCAAGGAGCCCAATAAGAATAATTCGGATTCAAAGTTCATTTATGACGTCAAATATAGGAGGTTCTTCTAATTTTGGTTCAAATGGATATTTACAGGAAAAGGCTTTTTCAGATGATAAATGATCTGCCAACAATTTTCGAACTTGTGACGGGAAGTGTTAAGCAATCTAAGGATCAACCATCTGCTCACAACAATGGTAGCAAATGCAAATCAAGTGGAAAGGTGGTATGCAGTTTTTAATTATTTCGTACTTTTTGTTTTTATCACTGCCCTTGGGTGGAAAGTCACTTTGGTCTTCCTGTTTTGGATGCTTCCTTTTAATAGTCCCGTCAACCTGAGACTCAGGCCAAGGGAATGAAGCTGTCTGCACCACCCAAAGAAGAGGATGAAAGTGGAGAAGATGAAGAAGAGGATGATGAACAAGGTGCAACATGTGGCGCTTGTGGCGATAATTATGGCACTGATGAATTCTGGATCTGTTGTGATATGTGTGAAAGATGGTTCCATGGTAAATGTGTTAAAATTACTCCTGCTAAGGCTGAGCACATCAAGCAATACAAGTGCCCTAGCTGCAGTAACAAGAGGGTTAGAGTTTGAAAGCTCTCAACCTTTGAACCAGTCATCAATTAAACAGACAAGATTTAGAATGTTTGATAACATTTTTACAAGTCAAAATTGCTTCCTGTTCCTAGTGAATGGTGCACTCTAATGACTATGCAGATGGAACTTCAAGTTTTTGCTACTGTTCACTCCTACTGTTTAATCTTCTTGGGAATTGTGTTTTTAAGTAGTCATTGACAACAAAGATATTATATAAATATATTCTGCAGTTTCTGTTTTGATTTTAATAAATTTTTCATTCATTTCTACATTTTGATGTGGGTACCTTGGTGGTAAAGTGGCTTCAGTGGAATTCAATTCCAAGATAAGTGGGCCTCAAAGGGACTTTGGTGCTGCTCGAGCCAATGCTCTCGTGGAAGGTATACCATACCAAGGTGCACTCCGTTTCGAAAGAAAAAACAGGGTACTGATAATTTGTCGCACTAATAATTCTTTTTTTCATCTTTGGAGGTGAGGTTCGTAGTGAAATCTTTCAGCGAACTGAAGCTTGAAGTTTTAAATTGTTCGACTCCTGTTTTCCAGAAGTTCATTGTTAACTCTGTTTTCCGTTTTATAATGTTTCGGTACTGTTTCAATATTGATCAGAGATTAGGACCACCTTAACCTTATGCTTCGAATTCATCACTTTGCCATGCTAGCATTCCATTTAGTATGCTTGTTTAAACTGAAAATCTGCTCTCAATTTTCGTTGGTAAAAAATAAAGTACTGAAAAAGAAAAAATTGGTCCCTTTTTGGTTTGAACTTCGAAGCTAAAAAATAAACTATCAAGGCCGATTCCAACGGATGACCATCAGATTTAAATTCAATGGGTACTCATAATGGCTAGGGTATTTATTTTTCTGTCAAATTAGTCTTGGTTTGAGTATGGATATTATTCACAAAAACTTGTAGCTGCGATAGTAAATTATTCAATAAAGTTAACTAAGCACCAGAATTTGAATTCTAATTTTGGACATGAAATCAAGATTAGAGATATTATTTTATAGATAAGGGTTGGACTTTTCTATCAAATAATAAATAAATAAATAAATAAATAACTGTTCAATTATACTCATATTTTCATAATATACGTATTATATTTTACAAATAGAATTTTAAATATTTTAATTGACTTTTAGTAAAGAAAACTTAAATTATTTGTGGATATTTTTACAATTTACATATTTTACTTTTTATTAGTGTTCCATTTTTTTTTATAAATGGTATTTTCAAATATATATTATGTTCAAGTTGATTAAAATGCAGGTGATAAAACTAAAAATATAAGATATAAAGACATTCAACGAACATAGGTATTGAAATTATTATTCACGAGTATGAAATTAAATGTGTATTATTTTAAAATGAGTATGTAATAAGAGTGGCAAATAAATTTATTTATCTATCATCCATCTACAAGTAAATCCATTTGATCCATCCGTTACAATGAAAATAAATTATAGATTGGATTTAATTTATTTATTTGATTTTATGAATGATTAGTGACTTATTTATTATTTTTCAAAATTCATTAAATTATAATATAAGATGTTTGTTGAATTGAGATTTTAGAATAATATTTTGACATAATTTTTTTTTGTAAATTCTAAAGACTATATAAGATTATAATAACTTATAAAAATAAAAAAAAAAAGAGAAATAAAGTATTTTAAAAAATAAGTTATTTAACTTTTGAAATATTACTTTTATGGATGAATTACATATTTATTCATAAAAAAATTGTTAATAAATAAATTGGATGAACTCTTTTTAAAAAAATTGGATAGTTTGAATTTTTATATAAATATTTAATGAATTTAAATAGATTAATAAGTTATTTTTTTCAAATTTATTATGTTGTGTTTAAAAATTTGGATGCATCGGTAGTATGGACTATGGAGGTGATTATGAACAAAAGCCTCCCCTCCTGTCGTGCATTTATTTACTTTATTATTGGAAAGTTGAAATAATTGTTCTCTCTCTCTCTCTCTCTCAAGTTTGCATTGTTGGGCCTTGGGTTATGCAATTGCCACACTCACGTCACGGGAAGTGGATACGACAAATGCCAAACAAATAATAATAATAATAATACGTTGGAAGTTGAATTTGTTATAATATTTTACGATAGAAGCAATGCAATTGAATTGAAACTTGCTTGAAATAAAATAATAGTGGTGTCTGCTGGGTAGGAGTACTTCTATTAAACGTTGGAAAATGAAATTCCTTCAAATCCATATATTCTTTGCTTCTGTCCGACCTAATCACTAATATCATTTACACAATATTTGTCAAAAACAAAAAACACAAGGCCAAAATTTCTAATATTTTGTAGCCCTGCATTGTTGGATTAATGTATGCAGTTATATTTTTTTTTTGTCATTTGTTATTCTTACATTTATCATTTTTCTTTCATGACATACTTTAGTCATAATTTACGAATTAAAAAAAATAACAGAAATTGTAGGTTTTTTTATTTATTTTTTTTTACCGTCAAAAGAAATTGTTCAATTATAGCCGCAATTACAGTTTATTCATTTACAGTTTTTTTTAGTGAAATATGATGTATTTCATAAAATTAACATAATTTAATTGAAAGTTAATGAGATAATTTTTTATCCTGTTATATGTATTTCAACTTAATAAGTCAAAGACAATTTATAATGATTCAATGCTTATTGCTGATTCAAAGACTTAAATATGTTTTTTTTTTAAATGAGTGAATTTTGATTTTAGTTCATGTAAAATAATTTCTTTGTTTTTCATCTATTTAAAATTTATAAACATTATTTTTGATCTTTGTAAAATATTTTTTTTATTTTGATTCCTTCAAAATATTTATCTTTGATTTTCATCATTTCAAAATTTAAATTCACTATTTTTAGTCCCTAGTAATTATTTTAAGATAAATAAATAATATATATTTTAAGGGTTTATAAACTTTTTAGAGATATTAAACATTGACATGATATCACTAATGATTGTGTATAATATATAAAATGACCACTTAACCTTTTATAAAAAAAAAAATAGTTAAAAAATGATCACATAAAAATTAGAAACCAAAAACAACAATTTCAATTTTTTAAAATGTTATTTGTGAAATTAATGTAAAGAATATTTGTTTATTGATGCATTACTAGACCCAATTGATTTGAAATGGGTTGGAAATCGATTATCTCATGTAACGAATGAGATATCCAACATTAGTACATTTTACATATGAAATGAGTAATATCTGTACCCTACGTACTTCGATATCGTCTTATGTAATGAATGTGACCATGCTTTTGTTATGTAACATTTGAAAACATTATACATAATTACAAATCTCTGCTGCTAAATTCATCAAATTTCGTTTCTTCAAGGATCTATGCTTTATATTTATAAGCTACCCAATAATATTAATGGCAATAGCCTTGTGCTTGTAAAATAATTAACATCCATATAAACTCCATTAATTTAATGCTTTGTCTAATTGCCTACTGCATTCAACACGGTTTTAGGGTGGGTTTAATTACCATGCACTTTCGTTTATTTTTGTTTCTTGTTTAATTCCATTCATATCCCTCGGCAATTCAAACCTTTTCTTTTTAAATATTTTTGTTATTTGGTAATTTTTATTTAATTGAAAATAAAATAAAATAAAACTTATTCAATGAAATTCACATAAAACTTTTAATAATAAAAAAATATGCTACTAAGGTATCTGAATCAACACTCGCAGACACACACAAAGATAAAGACTAGTGTCATAATCACTATTTTGCCTAATTATTTTGTGGCTAAGTGTAGAATAATAGTGAAAATAGTTATGATATCTATAATGCAAGAATTACGTTGAGAGGGTCACAAGAATTTCACATCGCAACTAACGACCATGCATTGAATAACAGCGTAGGACGGTGATACAACTAAATCCCCTTAAATGCCCACACCAAATCCCCTTTTATTTATCGTAAAAGCACTTTTTCTTTATGGATATGAATATGATGTTAATGAAATAGAAATGGGAATTAAGATGGACAGAAAGTCAAAAATTGGAGAAACAAGACAGGAATCAATCAAGGCGATAAGGAAGAGAGAGAAAAAGATTTTAGAAAGAGAAAATTGGGTTCTCTTGTGTTCCGAATGTGTTTGGACTTTGGAGGGACCATTTTCATTTTGATCCCATCCCACGTTAACGTTACGTTAGTTGTTGCTACTTTTTTCTATGATCATCAAAAGCAACCCACACACTCACAAACAAACAGATTCCATTCAACTCTTCTCGCATTTGTTGGAGCGCCAAAACAAAACCCTAACGTATTAAGAGAAAAATAAACACTAGAAGCAAAAATAGAGAGAGAGAAATAGGAGCGGTCAACCAAAAAATACCTCATTTCATTTTCACACACGCTCTCCACTGTGTCATCTGTCAGATCTGCTTCTGCCCTCTCTTTTTCTTCTCACAAAGCCATGATTTTTACACGATAAACAGGTTTTTGAGACCGAATCCTGAACTGGGTATGTTTCTAGTGTAAATGGGCGTGTGTCATTGAACAAGAAGGGGAAGATGTCGGAAATGCGGGTTTCTGAGCTTCACTTGAAGAAGGAACTCACCCAAATCCGCAAGGCTGCTCGAGTTCTCAGAGATCCTGGCACCACTTCTTCTTGGAAGTCACCACTCAGTTCCTCAAGATCCGTCGCTGCATGGAACAAGGACACTGGAAGCAGAAGGTTCACCAACAACGCCAATGACAAAGAGAAGGAGAAGAGGGTCTTCTTGTACAATTGGAAGAACTATAAATCTTCCAGCGAGAAACACAACGAGGAAGAAGAAGAAGAAGAAGATGATGATGATGATGATGACGGTGATGGGGGTGGATCTTCTTCGCTTCTTGGAGATAGAGACAGAGACAGTTTAAGTGATGCTCGCAATGGTTGTGACTCAAAGAGTGATACTTTCTTGGCGGTTGGTGGAAGTGGAACTCGTTCTTCCATTTTCCGATGTGGGGATGCCAATCTTGTTTCCAGAAGAACAGTCCCCGATAAGAAAAAGAGTAAGAAAAGTAACCCTCATTTTGATTTTTTAGCAAAGTATCAGCACCGTAGAGAAACCAATCCAGGGAGAAATTTTGTGAGTTCTTCCAAGGCATTGCTAGAGGGGTCTTTTTTCAGCAGGGATGACTCGGTTGAACATGAACACTCTGATGATGACACTAATTCTGAGGGTGTGAGGCCAATTTCAGGGACTTCTCCTTTGCTTCTCAAGCTTAGGCGGAAGAATTGGTCTCGCTCTTCCTCTAAGTTTTTGAGAAGAAGTCGAAAAGAGGACTCTTCTTATTCCTATAGCACCCCTGCATTGTCAACTAGTTCTTACAATAGGTATGGTCGCCGTTATCCCAGCACTCTTGGATCCTGGGATGGCACCACCACTTCGGTGAATGATGGCGACTGCGACGATGAGATTGATGATCATTTGGATTTGCCTGGCCGCCAAGGATGTGGAATTCCTTGCTATTGGTCCAAGAGGACTCCTAAACATAGAGGGATGTGTGGGAGTTGTTATTCCCCCTCACTCTCCGACACTTTAAGGAGGAAAGGGAGTAGCATGCTCTGTGGAAGTCAAACTATTTATCCGAGACACCGGAGATCTGTTTCGGCCTCGCACAAGAGGAGACTTTCTTTGAGAAGTGCTCGAGGTGTTATTCCATTGCTTACTAATAGTGGTGATGTTAGAGAAGGGTCGTCTGTGGGAACTGGTAGGAGTGATGATGAACTTTCCACGAACTTTGGGGAGCTTGATCTCGAGGGCTTGAGCCGATTGGATGGAAGAAGGTGGTCATCAAGTTGTAGGAGTCAAGAGGGATTGGAGATTGTCGCTTTCAATGGGGAAGGGGAAGATGAAGGCACGCCAGAAAATAGTAGGAGTTTCAGCCAGAAGTATAGGCCTATGTTCTTTGGTGAACTGATTGGGCAGAATATTGTGGTTCAGTCACTTATCAATGCCGTTTCGAGGGGACGGGTTGCTCCTGTCTATCTTTTTCAGGGACCCCGTGGGACTGGCAAAACATCAACTGCTAGGATATTTGCAGCTGCCTTGAATTGTGCAAGTCCTGATGAGAGTAAGCCTTGTGGCTACTGCAGGGAATGTGCTGATTTCTTTTCTGGTAAGAGCAGTGATCTACTGGAAGTTGATGGAACCAATAAGAGAGGAATTGATAAAGCTAGATATCTACTGAAAAGATTGTCAATGGGGTCATCATCAGTCTCCTCGCAATATACAGTTTTTGTTATTGATGAGTGTCACTTGTTGCCCTCCAAGACATGGCTGGGATTTCTAAAGTTTCTGGAAGAACCACCTCAGCGAGTTGTATTCATATTTATAACATCGGATCTTGACAATGTGCCACGAACAATACAATCTCGATGCCAGAAGTACCTTTTTAATAAAATCAAAGATGGGGATATTGTGACCAGGTTGAGGAAAATGTCTACCCAGGAGAACCTTGATGTTGAAACAGATGCACTGGAACTCATTGCTATGAATGCAGATGGTTCACTTCGAGATGCAGAAACAATGTTAGAACAGCTTAGTTTGCTGGGGAAAAGAATTACCACTTCTCTTGTAAATGAACTTGTGAGTGTGTTGTGACTAATTTATGTTTTCAAACACCTAATTATATGAGGAGACGATCATTTTGGTTTTCAAAAGCTCTCTTAGGAAGTTGACGAAAAAAAAAGCTTTCTTATTTTTAATTTTTATTATAAGTTAATCCAAACTTGCATATAACAGTTCTAACTTCTATTAATGCTTTTAACTTTACAAAAGTGTTTTGGTCAAATGGTTATCATAAAAACATAATGCTGCTTTGTATTACCTGCAACAGGTGGGAGTTGTTTCAGATGAAAAATTATTGGAACTTTTGGAGTTAGCAATGTCATCTGATACTGTAGAGACAGTGAAAAGAGCCAGAGAATTGATGGATTCTGGAGTTGATCCAATGGTTTTGATGTCTCAACTAGCCGGCCTTATTATGGACATCATCGCTGGATCATATGCTGTCATTGACACCAAACCTGATGATGATTCATTCTTAGGTGGACGTAGTTGTGAGTACAACCCCTGCTTAGGTTTCATAAGATTTTTATCTTTGTTATCTAAATTTTATGGTGACAAATCTTTAAAACATGCAGAGTGACTTTGGTGTTATATAGTGCAATGCCCTTTCCCATTCAGAAGTTTAGAATGATTGATATTTTCATGTGACTTAATGTTTTTCTTTTTTGTACTTCTGATTTATCATCCAGTTTAAGTTCTCTATGGAAAAACCAATGTGAAGGCTGTGTATTATTTAATTAATAATTCTCAACTTCTCATTTCTAGATTTGAAGATGTTCTTTTATTTTGTATTTGGTGGAGCTTCACATTTGTCTACTGGAAAAACTGCCAAAGCATTTAAAAAACATGTTGCCAAATCTGCTTCCTAAATCTTGTTTTTTGGTTGTGACCTTAGGCTTTGGTGCAGATTATCAGTACCCTTAATGCTCAGAAAAGTGATATCTGTTTTTTTTATTTTTATTTTTATTTATTTATTTATTTTTTATATTTTCTTGTTGTTTCCTGGTATTCCATGGTGCTTTTTATCCCCTTTTATTGTTATTATAGTGTTGCGTGTTGTAAAAATGAAAATTCTACCATCACCCGATGATTATTGAAATGCACACATGGATTTCATGCTCAGTGAATGAATCGGAGTTGGAGAGGTTAAAGAATGCTTTGAAGCTTCTCTCAGAGGCCGAAAAACAGTTGAGGACATCCAGTGAACGCTCTACATGGTTCACAGCTACTCTATTGCAGCTTGGTTCTACACCTTCTCCAGATCTTACTCAGTCAAGCAGCAGTAGGAGGCAGAGCTGCAAGACAACTGAAGATGATCCATCAAGTGTTTCAAGAGATGTTACCTCTAATACGCACAAGTCAGACTCTCAATATGTGCCTCGAAAGTCAACATTCAATGCATCCCAGCAAAAAGCAGTAAATGATAATTCCCACCATCAAAAGGATATATCCTCTAAGACTGGTGGTGTCAGCTTGAAATCAAAGCCATCAAACAGCCCGATCTTAGATGATGGCTCTACAGTGGTCTCATCTGATGATTTTATGGTTGGGAATACAATGTTTAGGTGCATAGATTCAGGGAAGTTATGTGACATCTGGGTGCATTGTATCGGGAAGTGTCACTCTAAGACATTGAAGCAGCTGCTACACATTCATGGAAAGCTTGTGTCAGTATGCGAAGTAGAAGGTAAGTTAATTATATTTTATGCTGAAAATTGAAGTTCTTCTTTAAGAATATTTAGAAGCATTTCTGACAGACTTATTTATATTAAGCCATTTACTTTTAAACAAATAGATACCAGATGGATTTTATTACCATGGATTCAGAGTTTATCAAGCCAATAATTTACTATTGCCTGTTTTTACTGTTGACAACTTCCCTGGATTGTCTGGTGGTTGTTTGCTCTTGTATGTACTAATTGAAAGGATATTTTACTTGATTTTCAGAAATTATTCTGCATGGTTTCCTTTTCCCCTTTAGTTATGTCTACTATTTTCAAAGAAGATAATGGACACTTTGAGTTACATAACATGGTTGAAGGAAGTCAACTTGAATAATGTTGTGAGAAAATGAATCTCATCATTGATGATGGTTAGAATGTGTATTACAGATAGCACTTCATCATTTTGGCCGCAAGTGCAACCTGTAGGAGTTTAATTGATATTTCTTCACTGTGCTTATTGAAATTACAGGAGTTAGGTGAAGGAGGAAAAGAGAGTAGAAACTCGGAATAATATAGGATACTAATATTATGCATTATGATGTATTACAAAAACCGAAGTACTATTACTAACCCCTATTTATCCTAGGAATTAGGTTAAGTACTGTATTCCTATTCCGAATCTAATAAGGTAACAAACAACTAACCAAAATATATGGTAGATTCCTTGAGAACAAAATTTAGTTTCTGACAAGATGAAATTTTTAAAAATAAGGAACAAACCCCAATATAACACAAGTCATCTGAATCGATTATGTGTCATTCTCTCCCTCTAAGATATTCTGTAGATATTTTAACAGTGCTTTTATCTTGCATTTCCATTTTCATTCCATCTTTTCTGTTCCTTTCAGAACCCGATCTCCCTTTTTTCTCTCTTCTAATCAGATACTTTTCTGCTGCACCTTATTACTAGAACTCACCTTTTGTTTTGTCATGCATTATTCCCCCCATTTCCTAATATATTTCTCCTTGCAGGTGTTTTGGTAGCATATGTTGCTTTTGGAGATGCAGATATTAAAGTTAGGGCTGAGAGGTTTTTAAGAAGCATTACAGACTCGATGGAAAAGGTTCTTAGGCGCAATGTGGAAGTCAGAATAATCCACTTGCCAGATGGTGAAGGTGAAATTCAGGTTAATCTACTGGGTCTAAAGCAGGCAGAGTCAGCAATGGCTAGTGAGAAGGAACAGAGACAAGGTCATATGAATGGAACGGAGTCTTATTCTAGTTTGCCTCCTTTACTGGATGGAAACCTTCAATCTACCACTGCTTCATCAGATATTCTGGCTGAAGGAAATGGTGTGAGAGAGAGGAGACAAGATAATCCAATGCAGAGAATTGAATCCATCATTCGTGAGCAGAGGCTGGAAACTGCCTGGTTACAGGCTGTAGAAAAGGGTTCCCCTGGATCATTGAGTCGTTTGAGACCGGAGAAGAATCAAGTACTGCCACAGAATGGTGTGGACTCAATAGAATCCATGGATTCAACAAGATTTTGCTCTCACCAGCATTGGGAAGAAGACTCAAATAATGAAGTTAAAGTTTTGAGCCTTATAAATGGAAGGGTTCCACAGAAGGATCAGATTGGTAGAAAAGCTGATCGATATCCCATGTCTCCAAGTTTATTGCATGACAACAGTTTAGCATCAATTTCTGGAAAAGACAATCTGTAAGTATTCTTTCAATTTTGCAGTCCATCTCACTTGTATGGACAATATGATTAGAAACTTGGCAAATTGCATGGTGAATTCCCGGCCTTATTCTATCCATCACAGTTAAGAGATGCGTATTGGATGCATGAATTAATTTCTAGGATAACGGGATTTTTTTTTCTTTGAAGATAAAAGATGTCTACTTGAAAGTTATTGTGGTTTTGAAATGCATGCTTATAGTATTTTAAATGCTGCTTTATATATAATATCTGCAGTCATTACATGCACATATACTGACACACACCACAAGCAACTGGCATGTGCGCTTGTTAGTTAGCTCTGTCTGGAGCCTTTGCACTTTTGCCACTTCACATGGCATCTATCTGGAATGGACCCGTAGATGGTGCCTGACTCTGACATGAGTGACATCTCACCATCAACAATAGTTAATTCAGTATTAATATTTTTCTTATTGTTGAGATATGTCTTTAATATCTGGAAGTGATTGCTCTTATGTACATAACCCATAATTCAAGCTCTATAATATAATACAAGTTCCTGCAACTTGGTAATCACAATTTGCGGATGTGTTGTTCTGATATGGTTTCCTGTATGGATTTTCACAGGGTCCATATAATGAAATTTTTTGTACTTGCATGCACTTTTTCTCTCACCTCTTGTTTGCACCATTGGTTTAATAGTATTTTAAAGTGAATGATAGTTAATGATAAAATATTGCATGCGAGTGTGAAAAAAGAGGCGTACAAAAAATGATTGCTGGTTCAAAAAAATAATTTGTTTTCTTTTTGGGTTTACTGTAGGGGATATGAATCAGGGTCGGGAGCTGGTGGTTGTGGATTTTTATGTTGGAATAAGTCCAAGCCTAGAAGGGTAATAAAGGTAACTCCATTCTCTGCCATTAATTTCAAAACTTGTCTGTTTCTCCAAATAACTGTTGTTATTTGTACAAAACATGTAACATAACATAACATGTCACGATGTTTTTTGTAAGCAGGTAAAAGGTGGCACCCCGGTTAGAGCGCGTAGAGTTGGAAGTTTTACATTGTTTCGTGACTGCGGTAAGCAAAAAAGGGAGCGGAGAAGATAAGGAAAGTTTGAGTTGGGGATATATATTTTCTCTTCTTTACCTTTTTTCTTTTTCTTTGAGCGATTCTTGAAGGGTGCGAGCGTGAAATGTGAATTTTATGTGGTTCAGCA